TTTTTGCAGTTTTGGTCGGGGCTGGGCTCGAACCCGCCACCCCTGGTACATGGGGCCAGAGCCCTACTCCTTGAGCCACAGGCGCCGCCTTGTTCAAGTATTTCTCAATAAATTTGCCTAATTATAAAATATTAAACACTAAAAATGTATATTTAGAAAATGAAGTCATCCTATATATGTCATCTATTAAGATTACCTCACCATGACTTGCAGGTATCTAAGAAATTCAGTGTAATTACCCAATGCAACTAGATTCATAGTTGTTTTCCAGATGTGTATCTTTTTAGATAATATATGTACATACCATAAAATATTTGTGGATATATAACATATTCTTTTATTTTCTTAATAGTTTTGAAACTGCTCCACAAATTGATGGAGGGGTGCAAGGGAAGGGCTCCAGAACTCTGTAAAGTTTTGGAGTAAGGGCTCCAAAACTGTGAAGGAACAGGCTTAGCTAAAAATAATGATAATAACTAGCCACTGTCCCCTCATTTGCTTGATAATAGTTACTATCCCCTTGTTTGTCTCTCTATAACTGCTACTGTAGATGGCCCTGTTGGTAGTTGTCAAGATTCTTACCTTTTCTCCATAGATAGCATCATGTGTTCTGAACCTGGTGGTAGTTTTTGAGGTATCTTCCAGGCCCCACATTCCAGTGGATTGGCGGACCTGCCAGGACCAGCAGCCCATTCCAAAAGATCGACTTGACTGGAATCCTGACCCCAGGAGCTAACACAAAACAAGAATATTACTTCCAGACCCCTATAATTTTGACCCAAAATTAGCCAATTAACAAATCTAATCACTTAATACCCTACCTGTCAAACTATCCTTAAAAACCTAGTCTCCCCAATTCTTGGGAAGGTGGATTTGAGAAATTCCTTTTGTCTCCCTGCTTAGTGCCACGTGGAATAAACTCTTTCTCTGCTGTAAACCCTGCTGTCTCTGGGTATTGGTTTCCTCTTGGGTAGGGGGGAGATAAACCTGGTTGGGCAGTAGTTTTCCTGACACATGAAACTGCAAGGTAAAGGATTCCCACACTGGATTTTCCAAGAGATTAATCAAATCATAAGGTATTTCTTTCCTCTTATATCTAGTTAGTTTAATATCAGCTCTAAACTCAGTTCTCAGCCCTGACTAATACCTCCTATCCAAACAATGGCCTCCTAGAATTTTTATTTGACAATTCTCCCATTTTGGTCATGTTCTAATCTAGGGAGAATGTGACCAAAATTTAGGACATCAGCACTAATGTCAGCTGCCATCATTTGGAGTTTTTGGTGTCAGCATGCCATTTTAGGTTACAGTATCCTCATTATCATGCATTTGAAGGAGCTTAGAAAATTTTACTTCAAGGGCAGCACCTGTGGCACAGTGAGTAGGGCGCAGGCCCCATATACTGAGGGTGGTGGGTTCAAACCTAGCCCCTTCCAAACTGCAACAAAAAAAATAGCCAGGCATTGTCGCAGGCGCCTGTAGTCCTAGCTACTCCAGAGGCTGAGGCAAGAGAATCACCTAAACCCAAGAGCTAGAGGCTCCTGTGACCTATGATGGATGCCACAGCACTCTACAGAGAGTGACAAAATGAGACTCTGTCTCTAAAAAAAAAAAAAAAGAAAATTTTACCTCAAAATATAACTGCTTGGTATATAGAATATTTTGAATTAAAGGACATTTGAGGTCAAGAAACACTGGAGGGGCTTGGTGCCTGTAGCATAATGGTTACAGTGCCAGCCACATACACCCAGGCTGGCAGGTTCCAGCCCAGCCCAGGCGGGCTAAATAACAATGACAACTGCAACAAAAAATAGCTAGGCATTGTGGTAGGTGCCTGTAGTCCCAGCTACTTGAGAGTCTGAGGCAAGAGAATCTCATAAGCCCATGAGTTTGAGGTTGCTGTGAACTGTGATGCCACAGCACCCTATGGAGGGCGACATAGTGAGACTCTGTCTCAAATAAATAAATAAATAACATACACATTCAATTAATTCTCAGCAATTGATGCTAAACAACTGGATAGCCATAAGAATAAATTACTTTGTCTGCTACTTCATATTTACATAAAATTAATTCAAAAGGCCTTAATGTAAAAGCAAAAATTACAAAACTACCAGAATAAAATTGTACAATATCTTTGTAATCTGAGCATAAGTGAAGATTTCTTTTTAAAAAACCTGTTACTGGAAAAAGAGAGTCCAGTACCTGTTACTGTCAGCTAAATGCAGAGACAAGGAATATGTCCAACAAGTTTTATTTTCAGAAGGTCGATAATTCTGGAGAACAGTGAGAGTAGCCTCTCCAAAACTGTCCTGTCCTTCCATTTCCCAAACCACAGTTTTATACATTAAAGTTCAAAGCAAAAAACGTGTTAACCCCATCTTAAACAGCATTAACCCTTACCTTAAAATAATAATCAGCATAACACATGACCCATAATAAACAATAATTGGTATAACCCATAACCCAAAACACCATTTTTAATTCAAAAGTGAATCTTCTGGCCAGGCCTGGTGGCTCACATCTGTAATCCAGCACTCTGGGAGGCCGAGGCAGGTGGATAGCTTGAGCTTACAAGTTCAAGACCAGCCTGAGCAAAAAGTATGACCCTCTCTCTACTAAAAATAGAAAAACTGAGGCAAGAGGATTCCTTGAGCCCAAGAGTTGGAGGTTGCTGTGAGGTATAATACCATGGCACTCTATCCAGGGCCACAGTTTAAGACCCTGTCAAAAAAAAAAAAGTTAGGCTCAGGGCCCATAGCACAGTGGTTAACCGCACCGGCCACATACACCGAGGGTGGAGGTATTGAATGTAGCCTAGGCAAGCTAAACAACAATGACAACTGCAACAACAACAACAACAACAACAAAAACAGCCAGTTGTTGTGGCAGGCACCTGTAGTCCCAGCTACTAGGGAGGCTGAGGCAAGAGAATCACTTAAGCCCAAGAGTTTGCAGTTGTTATGAGCTATGACTGCCATGGGCCATGGCACTCTACTGAGGGTGACATAGTGAGACTCTGTTTAAAAAAAAAAAAATTGGGCGGTGCCTGTGGCTCAAAGGAGTAGGGTGCCAGCCCCATATGCTGGAGGTGGGGGGTTGAAACCCATCCCCAGCCAAAAACTGAAAAAAAAAAAAAAA